CGTGCCCCCCAAATGTCACCTTTTCTAAGTAGTGTTCCCTCCCAGGTAGCATCTTTGATACTGTGACACTGTGTAGGCATTTTTCTCCCTGTTACGGTTTATTTGTAATTATGCTTGTCTTTGTCTCACTCTACTAGTCCTCAAGCTTTCTTTCCCCCCAGTTTTATTCAGATATAATTGACATGTAACACTGTGGTAGTTTAGACAACAGGATGATTTGATACACACATATATACTGGAAAATGATTAACACATAAGTTTAGTCAATATCCATTAGCCCATATAGTTACAAGTTTGTTCCTGTGATGAGAAATTTTAAGATCTACTCTCTTAGCAAATTTCAAATATACAATACAGGATTGTTACCATGCTGTGCCTTACATCCCCAGGATTTATTTATCTTATAATTTGACCACCTTTACCCATTTCACCCCCACCACAACCCCCGGCCTCTGGCAACTACCAGTATGTTCTCTGTTTCTATGAGCTCAGTTTTTAGATTCCACATATAAATGAGACATGAGCTTTTAAAGTGAAGTCACTACATTATATTGATCTTAAATTCCAAACCCTCATACAGTGTCTGTCAATTATTAGGTGCTCAGTAAATACCAATTTGAATATATTTTTAAAAAATATTTTATTTATTTATTTGACAGAGAAAGACACAGCGAGAGAGGGAACACAAGCAGGGGGAGTGGGAGAGGGAGAAGCAGGCTTCCTGCTGAGCAGGGAGCCCGATGTGGGGCTCGATCCCAGGACCCTGGGATCATGACCTGAGCCCAAGGCAGACGCTTAATGACTGAGCCACCCAGGCGCCCCTCAGTTTGAATATTTTATCTGAGTTTCAGTTTATTACTATGAGAAGCTGGGAATGTTAGTATTTGCCCTAGATCAATGAAGGGAGGATTTGGGAAAATGTTTTTAAAAACTGTCAAGTTCTATGCGGAGGTAAGGTATGCTATTCAAGGGTAGCAGATTATGCCACCTCAAAGTGTGCTGCTGGCATAACGATTATTTTGAGTTAAACACAGTCGAGAAGAAGCAGATAAAGACATATTATCTGCCTTCCTCCCATCTGCCTAAAAGTAGGGCATAAATTTGTAAAGGTGGCCTCCCTCCTTGTACCAGGAAGAGAACATTCTTATAAACAGAGTCTGGGAGTTGACGCCAAAATGGATCTGTAATAACACACCTTACTACCATGCCCTTATCGGCCATTAGTTTCCCTCATATACGTACTTTCCCACAATTTGCTGCCCTAGAAACTCAAGGTCTTTTCCTTTGTCTTGTCGCTTCTCTAAAAATTTGTTCTTTCATGAAGATGCTCTATATGTCCAAGTTCTGACCACCCCTTTGAGTTACTCATCCCTACACACTCCCGTGTGCATGGGCAATGCACATGTGAATAAATGTCTGGTTGTTTTAGTAATCTTTTGCTAGTCTCATTTCCAGGACCCCAGTCAGAGAACCTAGGAGGGTAGAAGGGGAAAAACATGTTTTTTTCTTCCCCTACAGTACATAAAAACACTTAAAAGCAAAACCAATTTTGTGTGGGGTGTCAGGAAAGAAAAGATTTCATGATGAGAATACTGCGCTGGTTGGTCTTTCATCCATAAGCATCTGAATACAGTCACAGATGCGATAACAACGGACTTATTTTTCAAAATGTTGACTTCACTTGTTGATATCGTTCCTTTGTTTTACCTCTTTTCTTTTTTTTTTTAAAGTTATTAATTTCAATGCAGAGTATTCTCTTTTCCTTTGTGGACTAGTAGGAACAGTATTATATCTTTAACAGGAGGGAAAAACAGAAAGAGCTCATTAGCTCAATGAGACTGTTAATGGTGGCACACATGAATAATTTGGCTTAGGTGTAACATTTAATAGACCACAGCTTAGAGAAACTCACAGTTTATATCCACTCTAAGGGGTTCATCAAATAAAAGAATATTTTGGAAGAAACCCAATTTATAGACCTCTACGAGAAATTACAGTCATAATGTTTAGCAGAGATGTCAAATACCAGCTGCAAGTGAATACGGCGCAGGTATTCAAATTCAGGTGAGCACGGGGAAACTCCTCAAATAAACCAATCCCTAAACAGCCAGGAACTTGGGAATACCGCAGCTACGTGGGATTTCTGTTCAATAACTATCATGCTATTCGTATCAGGACAACAGTGATAGGAGAAGGTGTTTGCTTCAGCTTCCAGCTTTCAACTTAGATGGATTTGCCTTAGAGCACAGGGGCGCACAAGGATACTCAGTTAAAGACAACCAAACCCAAACCAAAACCAAGCCAAAAAAACCTTCCACCTGCATCTGGAGACAATTTAGTTGACCAAGATTACAACTGAGGCCTTGGTGAGCGGGCACTGTTCAAAGGAGGACCAGACTGAATTTCATAAATATGATGCTGTGACTGGCAGCCTTCAGACTCTGAAGTTCAACGATGCCACAGACATTTATTGAGAACTTGGCATATGAAAGGGAAACAGAGGTAAGCACCAACAGGCACTAATTTTTAGAGACTGACAAGCTCTTTTCAATTTTCCTTAAGAACGGAATACAAGGAATTTAGAAAAATTAGAAAACAATCTCTGTAAGCAGCATACAAAGGGTTTCAGTTAGCTATAGGAAGTATTTACTAATTGAGAAGGCTGTGAGCTTGTCCAGTGACATGGAAAGTTATACGAATGCCAAAAAAAATCATCTTTTTGGTATAGTTTAGGCATGGTGCTACCCAACGGTGAAGTATGGAGTGGAACAACATCCTAAATTCCTCCCAGATCCAGACTTCAGTATCATCCTCTAGAACAAAACCAGAAAAGCCTTGGGGAGGCAAGAGGGTAGCCAGTTGCCTTGGCACTTCCTGAGAAGTAGCACACATGCCTTCTTCTTCCTGGAGGATGTTCTGTTCTCTGGGTCGAGCTCAGATGCGTGTCCTGTTCCCGTTCAGCTGGCCTTTATGAATCCTTGGTCAAATCCCAAAGATGCTACCCATGTTTATTTTTCTGGAAGTCAAGTGTGCTAAGTAAAATGCTATCCTCCATACTTGGTGGGCATGGAACCATGAACAAAATGCCCAACTGCTAAAAGTGAAAATGCTATTAATTTTGGAAATAAGCACAAAGGCCACCCAATAATTCTGTTTTTTTTTTTTAAAGATTTATTTATTTATTTATTTGAGAGAGAGAGTGAGAGAGAGAAAGAGCACAAGAGGGGGGAGCAGGAGAGGGAGAAGCAGACTCCCCGCTGAGCAGGGAGCCCGATGCGGGACTCGATCCCAGGACTCCAGGATCATGACCTGAGCCGAAGGCAGTCGCTTAACCAACTGAGCCACCCAGGCGCCCCAATAATTCTGTTTTTTAAAACAGTATCTGTATTCTCAACTCATTCTCAATAGCTTCTGGAGAAGTCATACCTCCTCTGGAAAAGCCTGAAGTCAAATGCTATTTAGTACAAAATTTAACTACCAGGGGTGGTTTGATTTCATTGTCCTGACCAAGAAGCACTGGGATTGATAATCGGGAGCTTCGAGAATATCCTGCGGAATAGGAACTGGAACAAATAGCGTGACTGTCTACCTTTCATTGTAAGTATTCTAAAGATGTTGGAGACTAAAGACAACATACACATACGCAGGCACACACTACCTACATTTCCCCTCCTCCCCCGTATGAATCAGTTGCAGCCAGAAATATGAAGAGTGCACACCCTGACTTCAACTTTCTAAGCTCCCAATATCTGGTAGAGAGGTTGGGTTCTTACTGATATTTCATGTTCACTGTAATTGATTTTCACCTTGAATGCATTATGCATTTACAACTCTGGTCTGAAAATTTAATGCTTTGCCTTTATAAAATCTAGCTCAAAGCGACAGTCACATGAGCTGATCTGTGTTTGGTGTATCAACCATGAAAAACAGCATACAGCTGGTGTGGACGCAGCTGGTACGGGGTAGAAAATTCAGCCAATGCATGACCTCAGAATGCTTCAGATGTGCCCTCTCCAACAGAGCCACTCTGATAGTCCTAGGATAATTAGCCCTTTGGCATGAAAGGAAACCTTTGCTATCTGGTCCTTTCTTCTTCAGTGATATCTTGGGACCCTTAACATTCTCTTTATTCTCTGCCATTAGTAGGGAGAAGTGACAAGAGAGAGGCTGCGGCAGAGTGGAGGGGACAGGGAGGAGGCTGGGCTCCGCATCCTGTTTGTCTAGCTGCTTTTAGACAGTGCCCGTGTTTTTCTCACTTCTCTGCGCAGCCCTCGGATTTGGTGGCCTGGCTTGCTTCCTGCCCTCCCTGCTGCAGCTGGTGTCTCACCAACCACCAGCTTGTGGGCTTCGCTCTAATACGGTCCTGGGAAAGTCCTTCCCTGGAGCAGCGAGCCAGCCAGCTGGTGGGGTTCACTCTGCACTGGGGGAGACACTAAATTTTATAAACACATAACCGAGGGCACCAGCGGGATGGCAGTGCTAGAATTAAGGGGCTCTGGCTCTGCTTTCCTGTTCACTCGAGGTCTCTGCGGAGACCTGAGTTGAGCAGAGGCTCTGGGCCAGATTCCCAGCGGCTGGCTTTGCCTCCCCTTGTTCAGAAGAGTTTCTTTCCCAGGAAAGCTAGGCGTAAGGCAGCCTCAGAAAGCGTGGTATGCAGATGTCCTTGCAGACAGCGCATGAGTAATGTACAGGAGGCGAGCAATGGGCAACTGGGCCATCTAGTCTCTGCTATGGCCTGCCTGCGCTCACAGCCTGGAACCCAGATGAGAAGCTTACGAGCTGCAGAAGCAGCATCTCGGGTCACAGGCATGGATGCGGTGAGAGGGTTGTGATGTTCCCCGGCTGAGAGAAAGTGAGAGGAGAAATGTTCTCAGACATGGGCGTTTTCTCGGGGCCTCATCGGATGACACCCCTGCTGTGCAGGTGAAGGGTCAGAGAAAATCCACGTGTGCTGTTTTCTCCCTGCTTTGGGGGTAATGCAGAAAGACACACATTACGATGCTGTAGGCTGGGCTGTGCTTACCGGGATCCCTAGGGCTTTAAGAATGTTCATCTTGCACATGGGACAGGTGCGATGGTCTAGGAGCCAAGGGTCAACACAGGACTTGTGGAAAAGATGCCTGCAATGAGAACCATACATCTTAGAGTGGCGGTAACTGCAGAGAACGACCTAGTCCACCACAGCCCAGAGACTTGTCCAAGGTCACTCGACTGCTCAGAAACAGAGCCAAGACCCAAACCTCCGTCTCCTAGCTCCTGGGCCAGTGAGCTTCCTCTTATACCCTGTGCTGACGCAGTCAAATTTTGTCTGGATCCCAGGACTGTCCTCTGATTCATAACTGAGTCTTCCAAGTTTCAGAAAATGTAGGGAATGTAGACACAGAGAGATTATTCTCTTTCTCAATAGGAAGAACGCTTAGCGGGGAAGAATGTAAGTGGGGAGGCCTGCACAGACCTTTGAGGATATAACTCGAGAGAGGCTACTTGCAAATAAACCCAAAGTTTCTTTCCTCCAGTCAGAAGACAACTGCAAAATAAAGGCCTGTTTCCATTAATATTTGGGCGCTCACACAGAAGGGCGGAAGCGCTCCTGGAAGCATTTAACGACACAGATGCTGTTCTACGTTGTGATGGCCGCTGGCTGCTGAAGCAGAAGCCGGGGTGAACGGCCCTGTACCCTTTACTGTGTGAAGAGCTGACGTGCTCAACGCCCCTGCCGCTCTCATGCACCGGGCCCGCGAGCCTTCCCTGCGTGCCAGCAGAGCTCAGGAGGGGCAGGAGGGGGGCCTCCTAACTGACCTTTCACTCAATGTGGCTCTCAGGGGCCCAAGAGATCATCAGGGGCTGCTGGAGTCAGAAGCTTTTCTTCTCACTCCCGACCACAGGCAGAAGCAGACAGAACTTCCTGCCTGGGGCAAGAAGAGAGGGAATGGTCGGCCTGAAGTATGAGGGCTTCGCAGGACATCCTGTCCACGCCTGACCTCGTCCTCGTGCGGCACTATTCCTGGAATACGTTTACTCTCTGTCTCTCACCTTTGCCTTCTTTTGTTCTAACAGTTCTAACCGTTTTCTTTGTGATAGGGGGCTTTCGGCTCAGATGCTTCAGAGGGACCCCTAAAGTAGGGAAGAGGGTGGGAAGGGCCAGCTTTTATTTTTTTTAATTTTTAAAAAATTTTTAAAGATTTTATTTATTTATTTGACAGAGAGAGACACAGTGAGAGAGGGAACACAAGCAGGG